ATTAGAAGAGCCCACACACCATGCAATAGAGCTTTAAAGGGTTTCAAATAAGCCTACCTGGCACACTCCTAGAAGACAGGTAAACCCACTGCCATCCAGTCTATGCCAACTCTTACTGACCATGTATAGGGTTTCTGAGATTGTAAATCGTTACGGGAGCAGATAGTCTTAACTTTCTCCTGTGGAACTGTTCGTGGGTTTGAACACCAACCTGGTGGTTAGCAGTCTAGTGCATATCTAAGAGACTGAGGCTCTTAGAGGTGAAATGGCTTTCCCAGGGCCTCTTGGCTGACAATGGTTGTTGGTATTGTTGTTAAGGGCCATCAACCTGATTCCAACCCATAGCAACCCTCTATAGGGTTTCCGAGGAGCGCTTGGAGAGCTTGAACCACCAATCCTGAGGTTCAAACCGACTTTGCAGTCTAGCACATTAACCCACAGTGCCACACCAGGACTCCCAGAGACACGATTTAATCCCAGCCTCCTGACTCTCAAACACTCACCCTTCCCTCTGAACCACCCAGGCTGTCCTCTAAGACTCTGAGGGCTAGACTCTGGAGCAGGGTAGGATGGGGGCAGGCTCACTAGCCCTGCAGAATACCAGGTCACAGAGCCTTTTGGGCTCTTGGCTGGACTCTGAGGCTGGGCTTGGCCTAGAATGGCAGAGTCTCAGCAGGGGCTTGACTTGGACACCAGGCAAATGTGTTTGGCCAATGATTACACTATGGAATATGTCCTCCCAGAGCTCAAGTCCGGGGTGGGAGATCCAGTGTCTTAGAATCATGCTTCTGTTTCCCAGAGACAGTCCTTGACATTGGTACTGAGCATCCTTGGCATGAGCAGTCACATACCTGGGGATGACTAGGCGGACTTCCAATGCCCTAGACCTGGGTGGGGAACATCTAGCCCGCAGGCCATATGTTGTTATTGTTTAGTGCCATCGAGTCATTTCCGACTCTTAGCAACCCTGTATAGAGTTTCCAAGGAGCAGTTGTTGAGATTGAACTGTCGACCTTGTGGTTCAAACCCACTTTGTGGTCCAGTGCTTACCATACAGTGCCATAAGACCCGCAAAATCGTTTGGTCTGGCCCTGCCAAGTCAACCTCAGTTTCAGCCATCACATTATGGGTGAGTTAATGAAATGTTTGGCCAAATACTACTGTTGTTATTAAGTGCTGTTGAGTCAGTTCTGACGCATAGCAACCCTGTATAGGGTTTCTGAGGAGCATCTAGTGAGCTTGTAGCACCAACCTTGCTGGTCAAACCGACTTTGTGGTCCAGTGCATTAAATCACAGTGCCACAGACAGCAGGCTCATTTTTAAGTTGGTAATTTTGTATAGCCAGCAAATGATGTTATAAATTTTGGCAGAAAAAGGTTCCCCACATCTTGTCTAGATCCTCGCCCTTTGCCACGGCCCTGGGGGGTCCTATGCCTTCTTTGGGGACCTGGTAGGGGATGGATCTGGCTGAGCCCTGCTGTCCTACAGTGGGTGTGGCCCTGAGACAGACACACAGACACATCCCACAGGAGTGAGGATGGAGCAGGGTGGCAGGAGGTGACCCTCCCGCCAAAAGCACTAGGCTGGCCTGCACATAAATCCTTCAGGCTGTCATCGGATGTGGGACTTGGGAGTTACATGACCATAAGAATGTAATGAGGTAGGAGTGGCCTTTTCCCACCACAGATTGAGTGTGTACACACTCCATGCCCATATGCTGAATTTCACAGGTCTACTCAGCTGGCTGCCTGCCTCATAATGAACACAAAGCCCTGGACCACGGCTCATAGGCCAGTGGGCCAGTCCTGGCACTGTCTCTGACTTGCTGTGGGACTTTGCTCATGTCCTGCCCTCTGGGAACCTCAGTTTCTCCACAGCTCTGATGAGGTGGGAGTGCTTAAGCCAGCTTTGAAATCTCTGGGTCAACAGTAGATTAACAGTCCTGAGTGGGTTATCTGTGTCCACTGTAGCTGAGCAGGAGGTGCCAGCAACATCTGGACATGGCAACGCCATATCTGTTGTTTTCGGAGGATGGGTGTGTGAGAGCTGAGGTGGTTCAGTGTGCCTTGACTTTACTGCTGGTCTGCACTTGACTGCTAACTGGTGGTGCTTTCAACTGACCCAGCGGTACCACCAAAGAAAAGACCTGGTGATGTGCTTTGGTTAGGATTACAGCCATGGAGCAGTTCTACTGAGCACACCTAAGGTCACCATGAGTCTGAATGTACTCAACAACCAATAACACCAACTGTCCTAATTTGCTCACCATACCTAGAGGATACCTGGAGCTTGAGGCCTGCTCAGCATTCATTTGTTCATTCGCTCTTTCATTCATTCACTCACCAATGATTACACTATGGAATATGTCCTCCCAGAGCTCAAGTCCGGGGTGGGAGATCCAGTACCATTCACGAATCACACCGTGGGGAGCAGACAGGAGGCCAGGAGAAGGTGGGGAAGCTAGAGCTGATGGTGCTTGGACTGAAACAGTGACAGTGGGAATGGAGAGGGTGGAGACGTAGGAGGTCTTTTCGGTCAACAGGACATGGATGGATTTGGAGCTGGGGATGAAACAAGAGTTGAGCATGATGCCTGATGTTTAAGAGACAACTGTGTCCCCATGAATTAGAGCTTTCATTGTCCATGCCCATCTCTAGGCTCTTCCATTTCCTCTCCCACAGAAACTAGCTTGAGTCAACTGCCTCCAGACCTTGGGTGGGCCTGTCCTGGCCCTGGCACAGGGGGGTAATGAGGCACTGCCCAAGGCAGGTGGGCTTGTGGCATACTGATTGCCTCTCTGGCTTCCCTCAATGACTAGACTCATGGGGTGGCTTCTCCTGGGCCTGAGAAGAGAGAGCCTGGGGGCAGATGAGCTCAGAGTACCTTCCCTTTGGAAATCTGCGTGGCGCTGCTCCCACACAGGGTATACTGTCCAGAAGCCCACAGAAAGAAGGGCTGGGAAGGCCACTGAGTGGTGAGGGAGAGGGTATGTTGGTAAGCACATCTCTGCCTGGGTCCCCAAAGCTGCCTTGACTCAATAGGTCTCCAGGATAGCTGGCAAGTAAGTGGCCTAGTGCTCTCCATACGCCCATCCAAGGTTCTGCTCATGCCGGCTGGGGCAGGACATCTTCATGGACCTCCCACAGGAATGCCTCCATGCTCTGAAACCTGAGCCTGAACACAGATGGTCCAAGCAAGTCCTAAGGCCTTTGGTTCAGATGGATAAATTTAGGCTGCGAGAGGCAAGGACTTGCCAAAGGCTACAACAGGTGGTGACTGAGCATCAATGTGAGTTTCTGGCTGAGCTCCAGAAACCCCTTCTGTCCAGCTGCAGGGGTGCCCTTAAAGGGCTGCCCCAGGGGGGCTTCATCCATTTTTGAGTCCCTCCCAGGGGCCTCTACTATGTTGAGGGTTGCGGAGCAGGGAAGAACGTCATGGACAGATGTATCACTGGTTCTTGCCCTGGAAGTATTGGAGGTTGAATTAGGGGGACTGACCTAAAACAGTGAACCCCATTACAACATCAAGATGCCCCAAGGGACTCCTCTGGGTTGGACCTCAACTTGATTCAATGTGGCTTGGACAGTGTGAGAGAAATGGGCCAGGCGCAAGAAGGGCCAGAGGATGACAGTAATGTATGAAGCATAGGCGTGGGCTTTGGTATGTCCACAAACCATCTCAGTCTATTTTCACAAAGGAGAAGGTGAAGTCAGCCCAAATTACAGGTAACATGAGCAAGAGCTTAATGCTTATCACGTGCTAGCTACTACAATCTGACTGATGAACTTGCTGTTGGTGTTTTGCCGAGTTGATTCTGATTCATCTTTCTCCTGTAGAGAGGCTGATGAATGAAAACTGCTGACTTTGCCGTTAGTAGCACAACACATAATCTACTATAGTACCAGAGTTCCTTGACTGATAAAGCAGGAAAATGCTATATTCTGATCCCAGTATGGATATACAAGTTCTAGGCAGAGATAGCCACAGAGAAAAGAAGAAAGACTGTGGGGAGAAAAAGGAAGAAAAGAGAGAAGAGAGCAAGAAAACGTCTGGAGGGGAGATGCTGATGAAGCGCTGGATCTGAACATCTGGACTATGCATGAAGAGGCTGGATGCCCACAGAGAAAACCATCAAGTTCATGTTTCTACATGGCTATGATGCTACATGGCGGCCCACTGATTGTCATAATAATGACAATGGTGGCTGCCATCCTGAGCTCCTACAACATGGCAGGTTATTTGCATGTTATCACTAATCTTTGCAATAATTCTATAAGGTTGTTGTTGTGGTTGTTATGTGCCGTGGAGTCGGTTCTGACTCATAGCGACTCTGTACAGGGTTTCTGAGGCTGAAAATCTTTAAGGGAGCAGAAAGCCTCATCTTTCTCCCACAGAACAGCTGGTAGTTTCGAAATGCTGACCTTGCAGTTCGCAGCCCGATTCATAACCACTACGGTACCAGAGCTCCTTATTCTATAAGGTAGATTTTTTCAATTCATCAAATAGCCACTGCTTTCATTGCCCATTTATAGAAGATGCCAGTGGACTCCAGAAAGGGTACTATGCCAACACTACGCAGCCTGGAGGTGGCTGGGTTGAGATCTGGAGTCAGTATGCTGGGATCCCAGAGTTGACCTTTTCTCCATTGGATCATTTTGGTGGGATGAGGCTGCGCTGGATAGTAGAAGCTGGTTCCATTTCTAGGTTCTCAACATGGGCTCCTGGGACAGGAGAGAGCTACAGAGATTGTCCTGGATTCAGCAGGAATCACTTTCCAAAACTCCCTTGCCCACAGGACCCGTTATGGAAGAATGCTTGACCAGCAGCAGGAGAACTCAATTTGGGTTCCAGCTCTACTACTGAATGTTGGTTGGCTTCCCTTCACCATCCTGGATCTCAACAGATTCCTTCATGATATAAAGGTAAAGTAGGATCTAACAAATCTCTGAGTCCTAAGGATTCTGCAAACAATCCATCCCTTCCCCACTCTGGCTCAAACCTGCTCCAAAGGCAAAGAAGCAAATCTTGTCTTCGTTCTCCTGCAGAAGGGCCATGACCCTCTTCCCCATCCGCTCATTCCTCTTGTAGATCAGCTCCTGGCGGAAGTAGCTGTCAATTTCCTGGGCTGTCACCTGCTCATGCGGTGGAAGGGTTGTGTTGATAAAGTTGGGCAGCTGAAAAGGCAAGACAAAGGCTGCCTTTAATTCTTTATGGAGCAAGGTGGACTTGAAAGAAACATACACAACTCAAGTAAGGCTAGGTAACTTACCTTAATTCAACTTCTACTGGGGGCTAAATGATTTATATAAGTTTCACATTCATTTCTGAGAAGGCTGTGAGGTAAGTATTACTGTTCCAGTTTACAGATGAAGGAAACAAGATTGGTGAGGATCTAGAGATACGTGCAAAGCCTAACAGCTAATACAATGGTGAAGCTAGTGAGCACCAGGCTGCTGGGTACCATTCTGTCCTGTGTCTCTGTCTTCCGTGTAACCTCAGCTTCCAGACCCTGTGGACCTAGAAGACTGGGGCAATGCTCATCTTGTTAACTGTTCTTGTTCCAGAATTGAGATCAGTGCAGGTGCCTAGAAGGAATTCAGTCAGCAGAAAGGTCATGTGGTAGAGGATAAGGCTGATCTGGGTTTTAGTTCCTGTTCTGATACTGTGTGACTTAGGGAAGATTCCTAAACTTTTCTAAGCCTGTTTTCTCATTTATAAGATGGGGCTGATAATTTTGTAAAGATTTAATGAATTGATGTTTGCTGTCTGTCATGGTCTGCATTAAACCTACCTCTTGATGAGAGGAGGTGCCGGCGCCCTTGATTTTCCCCATGTCTGAGTCTGGGTAGCCACCACCGTCTTCCTATCTCCCAATTTCCACCACCACCTCTCAGGACATAACCCAAACCACTCCATTCCTTCTTGAAAACTTCACCTCCATAATGCTGGCCTGCTCTACAACCTAGCTTGGCATTGCCTGGATTTTCCTCCTCTTGGTCTTTCATCTCTGCCCCACTCTCCACACCCAGCCACCTGGCTGGAACAGCATCACCAACATGTACCTGAACCAGACAGAGAACTCCTTGAGCTGAAGGATGGAGCCTTTTCCTAGTCCTGGCTCCTCAATGTTTGGTACAAGTAAAGGTTTATTGACACTTGAACAGAGTTGGGCTGCCCATTCTTGACCACAAGTGCCTCCTCCTGGGTTCTTTCACTTCCAGCAACCTTATAAACTTAGATGGCAGGTCTCGGTGTTCCAGCACCTTCCCTTCCAAAATGAGGATAAAGCCTGAGAGGAAGCCACAGGGCCACTGAGTGAGAAGAGCAATGCCATTCCAACTTCTAAGGTCTTGTTCACAGAATTTCTTCCACCTAGTATTGTCACTTCTGTTTCTCTGTCTTCATTAACCCAAAGCGCAAGATCTAAGGCCCAGTTGACTGATGGCTCATTAAATAGCTAGTCTAACATGAGAAGACTCATTTCTTTGAGATTTGAGTCCTCAGAAGAGTCATGTGATCCAACCACATGAATTCTAGAGCTACCGTCAAACTGCTAATAGTCTTTCTAAGGAAAACGTAGGAGTCAACAAAGACTGACCCTTGAGAGACTCTGAGAAGGCTGTGACATCTGCCTCTGTTATCATTGGTGAAGGATCAAGTTTCCTAGAGTGAGAGACGAGGTGGACATTCCTGTACAATAGGACTATTGTGCCAGAAAGACCTGATTTACTTTTCTGGGATGAACAAGCCAATGACACAACTGGTGTACCTTAGGTTTGTGCAGTGCACAACCTGCAAAGCTATATGTAGCAGCAATATCAGATCCAAGTCAGGCCTATAAGAGAGTTGATGCCTGGGAACCGTTGGGAAAATGAATAAATGAAGGGATGGAGTTCATTGGAAGGGATGACTGGCTGCCCTGACAAAACAGGTCATAGTTGGACTTGACACCGCTCTAGGAAACACTACAGGCTTCTGAGTCGGGGAGAAGCACAACAGAGGTTAGGATTCTGAAGGGTTATTTATGGAAATACGCCCCTCACAGAATTTCTCTTCATTCCTTGGGTATGGGAAAAAATGTGAGACGATGTTGTGCCAAAAGACAAATATTTGTTCAATGAGTGAATGAATGAAGGAGCTGAGAGGCATTAAAGTTACAGTGGCTATAAATGTGGGCCCTGAAGTCAGACTTCCAGGATAACTGGAATCAGAATCCCTCTTTTGCCACTTACTAGCTGGGTGGCCTCTCTCTAATGAGCAAGTTGCTAGGCTTTTCAGACTCAGTTTCCAAATCTGAAATATGGGGGTAATAAATATTGTTATAAGGATTAAATGAGATCAGTTTTGGAAAGTACTTAGCATAAGGAAGTCTTTAATAAATGTCAACTATTGTACTTTGTTGGAAACAAGAAGGATTAGTGGTTGGAAAACATGGCCTTGGTGATAGAAATGACACTGGAGATTGCATGATAGAATTTTGCAAGACCAATGAATTATTTATTGCAAATGCCTTTTATTTTTCCCACACAATAAACAGCAACTATACATGTGGACCTCACATGATGGAATACACAGGCACAAAATCAACTGCATCTGTTTAAAGAGATGATGGAGAAGCTAAATATCATCAATCAAAAGAGGAAGCGCCTCAGTGAGATGGACTGATGCGGGGGGTGCAACAATGAACTCAAACAGAGTACTGATTTTGAGGATGGTGCAAGACTGGCAGTGTTTGATTCTGTAGTACATAGGGCAGCTATGAGTTGCAATTGATATACAGAACCTAACAACAACATTGTACAACTGAAGTCCCTAAAATTGGTGCACATGATTAATATGCTCAGCTGCTAACCAAAAGGTTAGAAGTTTGAGTTCACTAAGAGGACCCTTGGAAGAAAAGCAAGGAAGGCAACCTACTTTTGGAGAAAAATCAGTTACTGAAAACTATGAAACAAATCCATGAGTAGGCAAAATTGAAAATTGAGGCCTGATAAAAGTTAGATACAATTATTCATCAGAGGATGTTATCGAAAGAGTAAAAAGACAACTTATAAACTAGGAGAAAATGTTTGTGATCCAATTTCCAATCAAGATCTAATCTTTAAGATTGACAGAAAACTGCTACAACTTAACAACAAAAAGGCAAATAATGCAATAAAAGCAGATGACTGACATGACCAGATACCTCCGCCTCACGGATATTCAAGTTGCCAAAAAACACATGAAAAGCGATCATTAGCCATTATAGAGATGCAAGTCAAAACTATAATGACATACCACTTTATTCCTACTAGGATGGCAATGATTAAAACAAAGTAAAACAAATGTTGGTGAGGATGTGGGAATATTGGGACCCTTATTCATTGCTGGTTGGAATTACAATGATACAACCATCTGCAAAAAATTGTGACAATTCCTCAAAAATTTAAAAATAGAACTACCATATAAACTAGCAGTTCCACTCCTCGAGATATAACCTAGAAACCTAAAAATAATGGCACAAATGATATTCATAATAGAAAAAAGGTGGAAATAACCTAAGTTTCCATCAGTAGATGAAGGATAACAAAATGTGGTACACAGTAGAATTCTACGCAGTCACAAAGAGAAATGAAGTTCTAATACTGGTTACAGTATGATGAACCTTGAAGATCTAATGCTAAGTGAAATAAGTCAGTCGCAAAAAGAAAACTACTTCATGACCCCACTTATATAACATGACAAGAATAGGTGACTATAGAGAGGCCAATGGTTTAAGTGGTCTATTTGTGGCAGGAGGGCAGAAGGAGAATGAGACTCATTAGGAAGTAATCAGTTTGCCAATGGTCATGAGAAAATTAGCATTGTTTAAGGGTGATGGTTATACAAATTGATAAATGTCACTGATATTACTAAATTGCACACTTGAAATGGCAAATGTTGTGTAACATATAATTTAAAAAACCCCCAAAATAACCCTATAGAGCACAGTTCTACTCTGACACACGTGTCATCACCATGAGACATTAGAGTCAACTTAACAGCAACTGGTTTGGTTTTTTACCATCAGCCTGGGGACAGAACTGACTTTATGTCTTGTTTTCCTAATAATTTAAAAGGCTACCAATGAAGGGTGACATCAGGCAGGGCCTTTTATTCCGTTTCCAAGAATTCAGGGGAGAGGTCTTCTCCTTGGGTCCCATGGAAGTTTGCCAGACCTTTCTCTTATGCTTCCTGATGACAATATACATTTGGGTAAACAGGTATCTTCATTTGCTCCTTAGAGAATGGAGAGAAAAAAAATTGACAAGGACAAGAACCCAAAAGTAAAAATTCAAGCTGTGAAGGAGTTGGGCCAGACACTGGTTCTTGGGCTGCCAAGAGGCTAACTGGCATTCTCCACATGCTTCATGCTGATGGATCTGGCTCCAAGCCAAGGAAGAGGCCTAGGTTTGGGCCCTGCTAGGATGGAAACAAATTAATGATGTCATTACACTTGCCGGGACCTTTAAATCTCTAGTGACAAGCTTAAGTACAGAATGCATGATAACATTTTAAAGAGGATACGTCAAGTCTCCAGGGTCCTTGAGTGACAGATAGGGTGATGAGGCAGCTGGTCCAGGCAGGGCTGGATTGGGGCATACAGGTCCCCATGACCTGTGTCCAGGGCTGGGTCAGATTTGATGTTCAAGTGCTCAGGTCCTGCTGACATCACTGACTTCAGTGGACTTACCACATCCATCCAACAGATAGACTCTGAGAACTAGCAGGGATTTAGCTCTGCGTCAGGCTAGGGGGCCACAGGGTGCCCTTTGCCCGGGTCATGAGAAAATGTCTGACAGTGACCATATGTGTTGGCTTGCCCAGGACAGGCCATGTTTATGACTAAAGTAGGTCACTCATTGTCTGCTAATTATTTGAACTCCCACTTCAATTTCGAAAGTGTCTGGGTTTGGATAATAACGACACCGTCACTTTATACTTGTGTCTCCACCACTTTGTCAGTTTGTTGTAATATGGTGGCTTGTATGTTGCTGTAATGCTGGAAGCTATGACATGGGTATTTTAAATATTAGCAGGGTCACCCATGGTGGACAGGTTTCAGCTGAGCTTCCAGATGAAGACAGACTAGGAAGAGGAGAGATGAACTACTACCAAATATTTAGTCATTGAAAACTTTATGAATAGTAGTGGA